TGGCCGGGGAGAGGGAAGTCTGGGTTTCCCTGCTGAGACTGCTGCCCCCGCGACCCGACCTCGGATAAGTGGAAGTAAATGGATGGATGGATGGCAAACAAACAAATATTCACCAACACCCTTTTTGCATCACTGTGGAATTTTTCACCCACTCTTCTACAGAATTGTTTTAATTCAGCCACATTGGAGATTTTTTTTTTCATCTAAACTGCCCATTAAGGTCATGGGGTTTAAGTCAGGATTTTTTTTTTCCCTTTTCAGCCATTCGGAGGTGGACTTGCTCTTGTGCTTCAGATCATTGTCGTGCTGCATAACCCAATAGCATTTGAGCTTCAGATCACAGACATTCTCCTTCAGTACATTCTAGCAAACAGCTGAATTCATGCTTCACTCAATTACAGCAAGTCGCCCAGGCCGTGCAGCAGCAAAGCATCCCCACAGCATCACTCTGCCTCCACCATGTCTGACTGTGGCCATGATGTTCTTTGTGTGGAAGGTGTGTTAGCTTTACCCCAGATGTAGCAGAACCCATGTCTTCCAAATAGCTCCACTTCTGACTCATCAGTCCACAGAACATCCTCCCAAAAGTGTTGTGGGTAATCAATGTGCTTTTTGGCAAATATTAGACGAGTCTCATGTTCCTCTTATTTAGCTGTGGTTTCTCCTTGCATCTCTCCCATGGACACCATTATAGCCCATTGTCTTTCTAATCATGGAATCAGACATTAACTGATCTGAGAGAGGCCTGCAGATCCTTAGGTCTTCGTCTCTGGTCTGCTGTAGCTTCTCTGATGCGGTTTCTTTGTGCTCTTGTAGTAATTCTGCTCAACTGGCCACTCCTGGGCAGATCTGCCATGGTTCCAAGTTTTTTCCATCTGCAGTTGATGGCTCTTATGATGATTCACTGCACTCCAAGGGTTTTAGAGAGTGTTTTGTACCCCTTTCCTGACATATATCTCAGTGATTTTCTTTCTCAGGTCTTCAGGAAGTTCTTCTGATTGAGGCATGGTCTGCTGCTTCTTGAGACCCCTTATCCAGCTCCACATTGCTGCAATGGTTCTATCTAAGTAATGTGTAGGTTCATCAGGGCTGGCAGCAATCAAGCTTGGGTGTGTCTAGTTTATTTTAACCCATTATCATTTAGATTAGGTTTATTAATTGATTGAGTGACTGGGTGTCACAGCACTATATATACAGTAAAACAGCCATCGGGTATTTTCCTTAACTAATTAACTTTAATCCTGTGTTTACAACATAAAAAAAACATAATATTTTATTTAAAATATACAAAAGTACTTATGCAAACATAATATTTAAACACCTCATCAATGAAAACGTTTTTAAATTTTTTTTTATAGTAAAACAAATACAAACCAAGTAAATGTTCCCGCTCCCGGAATAGAAAGAGCAATGTGACAATCAGAATGTAGATGAACACAAACTCGCAGATCTTTACAGGTCGTCCTGCGGTCAGAATTAGTTGGAGTTAATTTCTGTTTTTAATAAAACAAGGGTTATTAATGAAATGAACAGCTTCCTGTTCCTCTAAAATCAGTAAATTAATCTCTGAAGAAACACAAAACAAATTAAATAAAATCACTCCACTATTGGAAGTGTCCTTTTTACAGTTTACACAGAATATATTACTGTCTATTTCATATTGATTACAAAGTATATGCCTTTATTAGTTTGGTGTAATTCAATAATGACTTAATACTAAAAATAGTTACAGTACATCCGAAAAATAAGTCTTATAAACATTTTACAAACACCATTTTGTCATGACCTAGGGCCTCGTGTATAAGCGGTGCGTACGGCCTTTTCCACGCTCACGTTGAGATATATAAAAACGAAACTTGCCATACCGCTACGCACATTCTCACGGCAGCTCCAGACATGGCGTACGCACATTTCTGCTCGGTTTTGTAAACGGACGGCACTCAGTGGCAAGTCATTGCTACTGTGGTTTGCCTTTTTAAACTCACAATCATGACGCTGACTTTATCAAATACACCGACATTAATTGTACAGTATGTTGTTTACAAATGTACGGCACCTGATTTTTAATCAATTTGTAACAATAGAACGGTGCATAAAATGACCTAACTATTACAACTACCATGGCAGCTCTTGCGTTATTGGAAGACAGCTTATGGAAGAATTAGAAGAGAGCGCGTATTCAGGCCCATGATGATAACTGGCTTCTAAGTCGATTCAGATTTCCAAGAGCAATCCTTTTGGAGCTGTGTGCTAAACTGCGGCCAGCATTACAAAGGCAGATGATGAGGAATTGCGTTATACCTGTCCCTTTACAAGTTTTGACACTCGCGGGTTCTTAGCCACAGGTGCTTTTCAGCGAGAACTTGCGGACTGATCGGGTATTTCTCAGTCGACACTGAGTCGCGCCATGCCAGCTGTATGGGACGATATAATCCGCTTGTCACCCAGATATATAAAATTTCCTTACACTGTGGTTGAACAGGCAAATATTAAAGCGCGATTTGCAGCGATGTCCGGTTTTCCCAACGCGCGCATTGCTATAAAGTTACCTTCAGAGAACGAATTTGTTTATGCTTATCTAAATAGAAAGCACTTTCACTCTATTAATGTATTCTATTAATGCACTGGGGGCACCTCTTGTACTATTGTTTGTAAGAATAAACAAACAGAATAAACGAAAGTAACACCGCATCTGCACCCTACGTGTTATTCATAAACATGCAAGTAATTCAAACAAGTATGGTACGAGAAAAACTCACCCGCAATGACATCGGTGTCTCCCTCCCCCGATAAAAGTGTGTCCCCAATCATCGCAGCAACTAGTTGCTCAAAGGGTGTGAGACCAGGAATTATGCTACCTCCGCCTGTGCTGTTAAGACTCTTATGGTGAGCGGCCGCTCGTTTTTTTCACGTCGATTTTAATGTCCGACCACTTCTTTTTAATTTCGGCCATCGTGCGAATTTCAGAACCAACACTTTTAACTGACTCCACCACGCTGTGCCATTGCGTCAACTTTCGTTTATTGCTGATGCCACTTATACCACCAAATAATATCACTTTTCTTTTCTCGATTTCTGTTAACATGACCTCCACTTCGCACTCGCTGAAATACATATGTAAGATTTACATATGGAAATATACAAAATTATGGGCGGGCCGGGGGGTGGCTGTGGGCTCGTTCACGTACGTAAGATTTCGCGCTCATTGGCATTTATAAAGGGAATGTGCGTAGATCTGTGCTTACGCAAAGTTGTATGCATCTGGATTTTTTCTTGCTTACACACATTCCTAGTTTTGTCCGTACGCCATGTTTTAGTGTGTATTCTACGCACATCGTTATACATGAGGCCCCTGCTCATACGATCCTTCCGTGTGCCACGCCCCCTCGTTACCTACCACGAGGTAACGAGGGGGCGTGGCACACGGAAGGATTGTACGAGCAGGTCATGACACATTTACCAAAAATGACTGATAATTAAAGATCTATTACAATCAAATGGTTGCCTTATAGTTAATGGTTTTCCTTACCTTTGTTATTTTCTAGAATCACACTTAGATACAGGAAACTTAATATTAGGTGAAGCATGAAGGAAATCCCCAAAAGGATTTTCTGAGCAAAATCTGAAAAGCAATAATACATGTAATACAACAGATTAAATAAACATAACATACAACAGGTCCCCATTAAACATTATCCCTCTGTTTACTTGTGTCTGTTATATCTTTGAGGGGTGGGCACTTAAAGGGGGTGGAAAAAATAATGGAAACATCAGTATATTAATTTAAAGGACCTGATAAGGAGTAGGGCCACTATCTTAGCTTAAAAAATAGGTTCAGGTCTTCCTATAATGTGGGCATGGAATCCTGATGTGTGCAGTGGGACACTGCACCAATCTTCAGAAAGAAAAGCCTCCACTGTGGTCCAGAACCTCCCATAATGGTTTTTACATCTGGTGGCTGGGAGGCCAAGGAAGGCATCTGACTTCATCCTGGTGTTCATGAAACCTCTCCTGAATGTGTTTAGCAGTGTGTATGGGGGCATTATCATCTTGGAATAAGGGAACATCATGAGGGAACAGTATCTGAGCCACTGGGAGCATCTGCTCTTTTAAAAAGCCCTCATGTTCGTTGGCTGTTATAGGACCATGCAGAGCATCATCAGACCAAATGACTCAGATAAGATGGCTGCCCACACCAACAGGCACGTGGGCTGATGGCGCCCTTTGACTTTCTCCAAATATAACCCCATACAGAGGCTCTGCAACACTGCCCTGCTAAGCACACTCTATAATACTGCCCTGCTGAGCACACTCTACAATACTCCACTGCAAAAGATGGTGGTTTGCACAGATGCCTCGGCCCTTCAGGTTTTCAGAAATGTATTGGGCATCATAATTGTCATCAGAAGTATGATCGTGGAATATTGATGGATATTTTAGCGAACTGCAATGGAAAGTTTGGTCCTGCCTGGGGGTGGGGCTAAATGGCGAGCGCCTGTTGGCCAGGCCTGCACCCATGGCCAGGCCTGCACTCCAGTTGGCTCACCACCTGTAGGAGGGGCCAAAGGGGTCGGGTGCAGTGTGAGTTGGGCAGTGGCTGAAGGCGGGGAGCTTGGCGGTCCAAGCCTCGGCTGTAGAAGCTAGCTCTAGGGACATGGAATATCACCTCTCTGGCGGTGAAGGAGCCTGAGCTGGTGCGCGAGGCTGTGAGGTTCCGACTAGATGTAGTCAGGCTCACCTCGAAGCAAGGCTTGGGCTCTGGAACCAGTCTCCTCGAAGGGGGTTGGACCCTCTTCCACTCTGGAGTTGCTCACAGGGAGAGGTGCCAAGCAGGGGTGGGCATACTTATTGCCCCCTGGCTGGGCGCCTGTACATTGGAGTTTACCGCGGTGGACGAGAGGGTAGCCTCCCTTCGCCTTCAGGTGGGGGGACGGGTCCTGACTGTTGTTTGTGCTTATGCGCCAAACAGCAGTTCATAATACCCACCCTTTTTGGAGTCCTTGGAAGGGGTGTTGGAGAGCGCTCCTCCCGGCGACTATCTTGTTCTGCTGGGGGACTTCAATGCTCACGTGGGCAATGACAGTGAAACCTGGAGGGGCGTGATTGGGAGGAACAGCCCCCACGATCTGAACCCGAGTGGTGTTTTGTTATTGGACTAATGTGCTTGTAACGGATTGTCCATAAGGAACACCATGTTCAAGCATAAGGGTGTCCATATGTGCACTTTAGGATACCGTAAGCCGCAGTTCAATGATCGACTTTGTGGTCGTGTCATCGGACTTGCGGCCACATGTATTGGACACTCGGGTGAGGAGAGGGGCGGAGCTGTTAACCGATCACCACCTGGTGGTGGGTTGGCTCTGCTGGTGGGGGAGGAAGCCGGTCAGACCTGGCAGGCCCAAGTGTATAGTGCGGGTCTGCTGGGAACACCTGGCAGAATCCCCTGTCAGGAGGTGCTTCAACTCCTACCTCCGGCAGAACTTCGCCCATGTCCCGGGGGAGGCGGGGGACATTGAGTCTGAATGGGCCATTGTGGAGGCGGCTGACCAGGGGTGAGTTTCCCGAAGCGTTCTTAACGCTACGTCGTTCTTAAGTTCTGTGTTAAAAGATAGAACTAACGAACGACGTAGCGTTAAGAAGGCTTCGGGAAACTCACCCCAGAGCTGTGGCCATAAGGTGGTCGGTGCCTGTTGCAACGGCAATCTCCGAACCCGCTGCTGGACACCGGCGGTGAGGGATGCCATCAAGCTGAGGAAGGAGTCCTATCGGGCCTTTTTGGTACCAGCAGGCTAAGCGAAACGTGGCTTCGGCAGTCGCTGAGGCAAAAACTCAGGTATGGGAGGAATTTGACAAGGCCAGGGAGAACGACTTCTGGACAGCTTTGAGGAGATTCTGGTCCACCATCCGGCATCTCAGGACGGGAAAGCGGTGCAGCATCAACACTGTTTATGGTGGGGATGGTGCGCTGCTGACCTCAGCTCGGGACATTGTGGGTTGGTGGAAAGAATACTTTCGAAGACCTCCTCAATCCCACTGACACGCCTTCCAATGAGGAAGCAGAGTCTGGGGACTTGGGGGTAGACTCACCTATCTCTGGGGCAGAGGTCGCTGAGGTGGTTAAAAAGCTCCTCAGTGGCGGGGCCCCGGGTGTGGATGAGATCCTCAAGGCTCTGGATGTTGCAGGGCTATCTTGGTTGACACGCATCTGTGTCATCGCATGGACATCGGGGCGGTGCCTCTGGATTGGCAGACCGGGGTGGTGGTCCCCCTCTTCAAGAAAGGGGACCGGAGGGTGTGTTCCAACTATAGGGGGATCACACTCCTCAGCCTCCCTGGTAAGGTCTATTCGGGGGTGCTGGAGAGGAGGGTCCATCGGATAGTCAAACCTCGGATTCAGGAGGAGCAGTGTGGACCTGCAGAAGGCATTCGACCACGTCCCTCGGGGAATCCTGCTTTACGAGGGCTGTTCAGTCCCTGTACAACCGGTGCCAGAGTTTGGTCCGCATTGTCGGCAGTAAGTCGGACTCTGCCAGGGCTGCCCTTTTTCACCGATTCTGTTCATAACTTTTATGGACAGAATTTCTAGGCGCAGGCTGGGTGTTGAGGGTGTCCGGTTTGGTGACCTCAGGATTAGGTCTCTGCTTTTTGCAGATGATGTGGTTCTGTTGGCCTCATCAGACCGTGACCTTCGGCTCTCACTGGAGCAGTTCACAGCCGAGTGTGAAACGGCTGGGATGAAAATCAGCACCTCCAAATCCGAGACCATGGTCCTCTGCAGGAAAAGGGTGGATGGAGCGGGAGACCGACAGGCGGATCGGTTCGGTGTCAGTAGTGATGCAGGCGCTGCATCAGTTTGTCATGGTAAAGAAGGAGCTGGGCCAAAAGGCAAAGCTCTCGATTTGCCAGTCGATATTTGTTCCTACCCTCACCTATGGTCATGAGCTATGGGTAGTGACTAAAAGAACGAGATTACGAGTACAAGCAGCCAAAATGAGTTTTCTCCGCAGGGTGGCTGGGCTCTCCCTTAGAGATAGGGTGAGGAGCTTAGTCATTCGGGAGAGACTCAGAGTAGAGCTGCTGCTCCTCCGCATTGAGAGGAGCCAGATGAAGTGGCTTGGGCATCTGCTTAGGATGCCTCCTGGATGCCTCCCTGGTGAGGTGTTCCGAGCATGTCCCATTGGGTGGAGGCCTCGGGGAAGACCCAGGACACGCTGGAGGGACTATGACTCTCGGCTGGCCTGGGAACGCCTCGGGATTCCCCCAGAGGAGCTGGATGAAGTGGCCGGGGATAGGGAAGTCTGGGTTTCCCTGCTGAGACTGCTGCCCCCGCGACCCGACCTCAGATCCAACGGAAGATAATGGATGGATGGATGGAGTTTGGCCCTGCTTGTACATTTAAGTCACATTATAATAATTACGTTATTGTATACCTTTGTTTTCCCGTGAGTGAACGCTGACGTGTCTGGCTGCCGCGTCTGGCTGCCGCGTCTGGCTGCCGCTGCTCCCTGGAGCTGTTTGCGTTTGTTTGTTGTCTAACTGCGCTTACATATTTTATGCATTGTCTGTGCAGCCCTCTAAAATCAGTACATTGTTTTGTTAATTTTTTATTCATTTTTATTAATTTTATTATTATCGGCTCGTTTATCACTCAAGATTATCTGTGAACCAGTCAAACATGCTTACGGGACATACCGGATCAGATCTGGACTAGCCTGATGACTACCTGGCCCGCTAACCTGTTTACCAGTGCGGTAGCAGCCCGGATGTGTCAACTCTGCCTAGGGGTTTACCAGAACTAACTGTCCCAATGCTACAACCTGTGGATCTACTGGAGCAATCTGTTACCACTCCAGTACTACAACCTGTGGATTTACTATCTATCCCTGTCTCTACAGGAGTGAACTGTGAGTAGATTGTCTGTCAATACTTGTGATGGTCTGCCGGTGTGCTTGCTCCTGTCTGTTTTATAGTGTTTGTGCAAGCCCTCTCATGGGTACTCCGCTGAGTCTGCCTAGGTAAGTTTCTTGCTTGCTCTTTTAGTGGGTGAGTCTCTTGCTTGGGTTCTTGCACTCATGGGAACTTGGCTATCCCCGTTGCCAACCCCTGTGTGTCTCAGTGGTTACATATGTTGGCTAACATACTAGACTATTAGGACGTAGGCTTGGTGCTTATCGCAGATCGGTTGCTGTGCCGTGAACTTTATCGGCGAGGCTTTGCCCGACCAAACTGCCTAGCTGGTTTTTACTTCCGCATGAATTGTCGTGTTCATCAACCATGGCTCTAAAATACTCATCGGCATGGCTATACAGCCTGTGAAAGAACTATTATAAACTTCCTGATGACCTTAAAATGCACCTGCACCTTGGCATTTTACATCGTCGGCCCAAATACAGCCACAGAGGCTCACGCAGGAAGTTTGCCCGCTATCCCCACTCGAAGAACATTGACTGTCTGGAAATGGACCCGTAATAACATTGATTGACATGTCGTGGTGCGCACTGCTGACTTTAACAACCTGTGCACCATAACATTAACCAAGCCCCTTGAACATCATTGCTCATTCAGAAAGTCATCGTTTGCTTTGTTAAATGTACGGTCTCTTAGCAACAAAGGGCCTTTCAT